CTATAGTTGTTTATGTATGAATTTCCACACATAGAAAATCTGCTATTTCTAACATTGTTATTTTCTTATCTGCACAAACACTTGAGTCAAAGCCTTTAAAATAAAGGAAGCAGCTGCCTTCCCCCTGGAATTGGCCACCACTATGCAAACACTGACAAAGACAACATCGTAGACTTAAATGTCTGAGTGGGCTGATTTCAAAGTTCTAAGGGCAAATACTCTTCATATGCTCCCCCTCCCCAGATACTATTTGTATGCTCGTATCTTTTGTTTTGGTTTGGTTTTGTTTTTTGAGACAGGGTTTCTCTGTGGCTTTGGAGCCTGTCCTGGAACTAGCTGTTGTAGATCAGGCTGGTCTCACACTCACAGAGATCACTTGCCTTTACCTCCCGAGTGCTAGGACTAAAGGCGTGCACTACCACTGGCTGGCTGTATGCTTATATCTTTAGGTAAAGAAAACTGAATTTTAAATACCTGCACATAAGATGTGAAAACTACACACAGACAACTGTTGTGTTGACAGTCTGGTGGAAACTTCTCACTACTAAACACTGGGGTCTCAGAAACCACAATGAAATACTTTTTGAAGTGTAAACAATCTCTAACCTATCTAAGGTTATTTCCAGAAATATTGGTAATACAGGTTCATTTCCCTTACAGACTCAACTTTATGGAACTACTAGCCTCCAAAATGGTACTGCATATGTGAAATCTGAGATTTAACATTATAAAATCAGGAATTCAAAACCAAGAATGAATTTCAAGATAGAAGGAAAGGCAAATTTTGGATCTGCAATGCTTTTATAACCAAAAAACATGAATATTGATCCACTTGTAACTCAGCAATACTGCCTAGGTGTCCCATAGTTTCAAAACACCCTTTTAGATAACATCTGATTCTGTCCTTTGCTACTGTTTATAGCAGGATAAAATCAGCTTTCATAGTTCAGACCTAATGAGAAGTGTATGTTTGGGCCTGAGATACACATGGTAGAAAGACAACAGAATGTCACCCACTCTAACCATATTCCATGTGAACAGTTCAAAGACTTAACTAGATTCCAAAGCATGTGATTATGCCCCCAATTTTAAAACAGTAAACATCTTAACACATATACTGATTAATGCATGAAATAAAGAAAATGTAACGCCACCAAACGTGTGCAAAATATTTCAAAAGGAAACTTCAGGTTCATGTTTAAACACGGTATTTCAACTCATCAACTGAGAGAAAAGTGGACTTAGGGGGCGAGGTCATATAGACATGCTCTTTTGAGGAGGACATGTTATAAAACTACTACCATAGTTAATACTTAATATTGCCTTAACATTCCTAAAGTCACAGAAAATGATCATCTTTGATTGCCAGTACAATAAATTACCATAGAGTATGTAACTTCCTGTTCACTAGTAACCAAACGTACATAAAACAGACTCAAAACAAATACTTAGTATTAATGATTTTGCATAAGCAAACATTTCTGAGACTTGAAGATTTGTGTTTGAGCATACAGTACTATCAATGTTGGCTACATCAAATAAATAGAAAATCATTTCTTGAGAAAAGTTCAACAATCAAGAGGCTGTATTGCATTTAAGATTGAACGCTGGTTATATACACACACAAGGGGACAATCAATGAGGAGTATTTCCCATTACAGAGGTCTTTCCAGGTGGCAAAGCTCTTAAGTTTACCATTCTGACATTTAAAATCGACACAAATAGCATTACTCTTTTATCCTTTGGTTCCCAGTGACAAATAATGAATGAAGTCTCTGGATCAGTTCTTCCTAGTTGACATTTCTTAGTAAAGATCTCTGATGTTTCAGCTGAAATTTGGCAATCCAAGAAGTGCACCAACAGCTCCAAAGTATCCCTGCATGATTTAAACAGTTTAAGACAATGTAGCTTTTAGATTAATTTGTTAAGAACACATTTATATAGCTTCTTCACATGGAATACATGAAAGGGTACACTCCACAAAACAAAAGATAAACTAGAATCGGGAAAGCACCAAGTCCAACAGAACCCAGCAAACCCTCAAAATTAATACAGAAGGAAAGGAGACCAGTCATCCAGCAAAACAGCACTGTCATTTCTAAAAAGAGCAACATTCCCTCTCCTTGTTAATCAATAACCTTACACATAAGTAAATGGCCTCAATTCACCACTAAAAAGATAAATCAACCAAAGAGCTGGTTCTTTGGAAAAGTTAGTAAGATTGACAAACTTTAATTATTATAAAATAAAGACACAAATTAATAAAACTAGAGGTCAAAAGGATGTCATTCCTACAGACTCCAAAGAAGAATTTTAGGTTGCATTCTATATACTCTTGAACTACCTATCTATCTGCCTGCCTACCTATTCAAGACAGGGTTTCTCTGTTTAACAGTCCCAGCTGTCCTGGAATTAGCTCTGTAGACCAGGCTGGCCTAAACTCAGAGAACTGCATGCCTCTGCCTCCCAAGTGCTGAGTTTAAAGGTGTGCACCACCACTGCCTGGCTTTGAAATAAGTATCTTTATTGTAGCAATAACTTTGAATTTTATTAATTCAAAATAATGTAAACATTTGATTTCATTATATGAGACTGATTAATTGCACATAATGGAATTTAACTGGATATTATAAATAGGAAAAAAAGCTGGGAGGTGAGCTGTTTGGTTTTTTATTTGTTTGTTTGAACACAAGGTCTTGACATGTAATCCTGGCTAGCCTAGAACTAATATAAAGCAGGCTGGCTTCAACCTAGGCTAACATCTTGTCTCTGCTTGCTGAATATTGGAATTATAGGAGTGCTACCACCAAGCTGAACTAGGAAAACAATATTTGTCAGGGCAGTGGTGGCGCACGCCTTAGTTCCAGCACTCGGGAGGCAGAGGCAGGCGGATGGATCTCTGTGAGTTCAAGACCGACTTGGTCTACAGGAGCTAGTTTCAGGACAGCCTCCAAAACCACAGGGAAACCCTGCCTTGAAAAACCAAAAAAAAAAAAAAAAGGAAAACAGTTACTTCTCAGGGTCAGGGTGGGTTACAATGCATTGAGGGAATTAAAAAGAATCCTCTTTGTTAGAACACATAGCCCAGGCCTGAGAAAATAGCTCATTCCATAAATGCAAGGAACTGAGTTTCATTTCCCAAACCAACATAAATAAAAAAGCCAGGTGCTGTGGTATATTTTTATAAGCCCAGATGTGGGGAGGCAGATCTTTGGGGTTTGCTGTCCAACCAATACAGCCTCACCATGCCAGTGAGAGACCGTGTCTCAAAGGAGGTGAATGGTGTTCTTGATAATGATAACTGAAGTTGTCCTCTGGTCTCCACATATGCATACATATTTACAGTTTTACATATATAAATATAAGAAGATATACAGAAATGTAGAAATTTTCATTCAAAACATGCTGTTTAACCTACAAAAAAACTGTTTTCTGAAGAATAGAAGAAAGGGTATGTGATAGGTAGGATTTTAGTTGGGGGGGTTGTAGGGGAGGACGGGAGGGAGAAGGGAACTGGGATTGTCATGTAAATCAATCTTGTTTCTAATCCAAATAAAAAAAAAGATAAAAAAACTGTTTTCATACCTCATGTTCTAGAAACAATGCTTTCAATTGACCTTTTGACCAGTAATCCAAAGCATATGCCAGAAGTTTCATAGAGAGAGTATTAACACGTAAAAAGTTTCCAACGAAGACAACTCTGTTAATTTTCTGAAATCGAAGAAAGTGACTTTTAGGGCATTAAAATATTTATGCAAGAATGTTAATGTCACTCATTAGTACCTCCTAATTTCTGGCACACAGTTCTACATTTCTGATTATTCACAAATTAGATAATTAAAGAATGAGCTCTAATGCCAAATATGAACTCTGGATTTTAATGCTGATGCCATGTCCTACATGTTTTTTGACTACAACCAAACATACCAAGATCCAGAGTACACTGAGTCAGGGAGGCTATGCACATGTGTAGAAGGTGTGTTGATAGCCTATATATTCCTATTTCAGTTTTACTGCAAACATAACATTGATCTAAAACCATGCAATGCAACCTGGTCCCTCCAGAGTTGGACAATAGCAGTGATTGTGGAAGGGGACCATGAAGGGTGGGTAACATAAAAGTTGAGAAGGAGGAAGATGTGGAGACAGAGGAACAGGAGGCATAAACTAACTAAAACATAGTTTGGGAGCAGGAGAGATGCTCAGTGGTTAGGAGCACAAGCTGATCTTCAAGAGAACCATGGCTCTGTTCCCAGCACCACCTTGGCTTTTCACAACCATGTGTAACTCTAGCCCCAGGAAATTCAATGCTCTTCTGTCTTCCATAGGCACTGCATGTAAATGGTGCACAGATACACATGCAGGAAGAATATCCACACACATAAAAAAAAAAAAAAAAAGTTTAGGATGGAGAGCTGGCTGAGGTTAAGAGTATTTGCTACTCAAGCAAGACCCAGGGACTTTCCTTTCTCCCCATCCATACCTGCTGGGGTTGTAGGCCCAAAGCCATATCAGGCTTCTTAGATGGGTGCTAGGGACTCAAATCCTGGTCCTCTGCACAGAGTCACTGAGCTATCTCCCCAACCCTCACTTTTTCTGAAGGCAAGCAACACACATCACCTCAGACCACATGTGAAGAACAAGTCTCAATGCCTTCATAGCCCTGTACAATGCTGCTTGATCCATATGCAACAAGGCAGCACTGTAAAGAAGCCGAGGGCAGTAAGAAAATCTCCAAGTATCTCACTAATTGAACACTCCATTATTATAAACAAAGAATCCACAATGTTTTTCTCAATAGTTTAATTAAAATGTGCTATCCTTATATTTCACTCTCATTTACATTTAGACTGTGTATTCATTTATGAAGACATTTTGAGAATAAGTACTTATTTGTCCTATGTTTGACACCAAGTTAGTTTCTTTTTGTTTTGCAGGGCAGGGAGACTGAACACCAAGGGCTTTTCACTATTTGTCATATTACTTTCCTTCTTATTATTGGCTATTTTGAAGCAGAAGCTGACTGGCTGGCCTGAAACTCTCTTTGCAGACCAGGCTGCCCTTGAACTCAACAGATCTGCCTGGCTCTGCCTCCCAAGTGCTGTATTTGTCATTAAAAAGGAAGAAACAAACAAGATATTTTATCCATTTGAGAGCATAAAGAAATGGATCTCAATCTGACAGGCCTCGTTGGAAAATAAGGGGTTCTATCACACACACAGGAATCAATTTTTTCTTTTAAAATTTCAAAACAAAGCAAAAAGACAGGGTCTCTATAACACCAACAGCCTGGAATTAGCCGCAAACTCACAGAGCGCCCAACTCCTGAGCACTGGGATTAAAGGCATATACCACACCACTGTGTCCAGATGTTTTTTGTGAAATTAAAAGTTCTTGAATGTCTTTTTACCTCGTTAACAGCACACATCCGGGCCACGGAACCAATGTTATTAGTGATAGTAACTAAAGTAGCTCTTGCCAGATCCTCTTTACTAACAGTTTCTCGCTTCTCCTTATAAATCATATTCCCAAAACTGAAAAAAAAAAAAGAGAAACAAGTCAAATCTACTGGTAATAATTCATACGTTAACTTACATATCTATTTACAAATGAAAATGTCGTAATGAAACCCATTGTGTGTAAAATAATAAATGCTAACATTAAACTGTTCAGGAAAAATTTAAATTAATATATAGACAACTTTTTAAATGTCTGAAAGGCACAAAAGTGACTTAAACAGCTAAATTTTGTTATGGAAAGATATACCATAAAGCATCATTTTTCAAACATTATTTGTTTTCTCCCTCTCTGTGTGTACACATACTCAGAAGTCATTAGACGCTTTGTAGGAGTGATGCTCTCCTTTTACTATGTAGGTAGGTTCTGGGGATCAATCTGAGGTAGACAGGCATCCTTACCCTCTGAGCCACCTGACTGGCCCAAGGATGTCATTTCCCTAAGTTAACAAAGAAACTTAATGAAATCACAAACAGAACACACTTTTATGCTTCCATAGCTTTGAGGTGTATTGAGGGTACATCTGGAGTAAAAAAAACAAAAAAAACTAGTGCATGAGAATTCATCTCTTATCAGTGGAAAAAAAGAATAGATGTTAGGTACTTGTAAAAAAATTGAAAAACTGGATCTCTCACACAAAACTGTAAGAAAAATTATAAACCATGTTTGTTTTACATCATAACAAAGACTGAATTATAAATACATTAAATACCAGAGAAAGAAAATACAGGTTAATTCCTTTATATGAATCAATATCCAGAAGCCATAAAAGACTGATAAATTCAACAGTGTAACAAGCTATAAAAACAAAACAAAAAAACTAGATCATCAACAATCACTAACAGCACCACATATGGTCCTTAGCTTCTTGTTAGTAAAAGAAACAAAAGTAAAATCACACTAAAATGCTGCTTCCCTATCAGATTAGCAAAAACTTAAAATGTTTCATAGCATACTAGTTCAGCTGTTGGGAAATACTCTTTTACCTGGTGGGTTAGGTGAAAAATCACCATTTGGAGGGTGTGCTAACAAAACTGTAACAAGTATTTGCACTTTACCTTCAGGAATGTAAGCTACAGACAGGACAACATGAACAACATGGAAAGATTTCTAGGATGTGTGACTGTTTTATTAGAGTATGTATACTACTATGCTACATAGTGGCACAAGTTATTGGATAAGCAAAGGATTACAGAATATGATTTGTATTTTCACATATCAACAGAAGACAGGTGTTTCAGAATACAAAGTTTCTGTTTTCCTGTTGTTTTTTTGGTTGTTTTTGTTTTTTTAAAGCTTCACGAATTTGCTTGTCATCCTTGCCCAGGGGCCATGCTAATCTTCTCTGTATCGTCCCAATTTTAGTATATGTGCTGCCAAAGCGAGCACCTGTTTTTTGTTTTTGTGGGTTTGTTTGTTTTTACAGGGTTTCTCTGTATAACAGTCCTCACTGTCCTGGAATTCACTTTGTAGAGCAGGCTGTCCTGGAACTCAGAGATCGCCTGCCTCTGTCTCCCAAGTGCTGGGATTAAAGGCATGAGCCCCCACAGTCTGGCCTGGAACTCCTTTTATAGCACTGGTTTGCCTGGAACTCAAGAGTTCTACCTGCCTCTGCCTCCTAAATAACGGGATTAAAGGAGGGTGCCACCATGACCAGCTGAGAAGTTTTTCTGTTCTTCAGTTCAGGGACTCAAACCCTGGCCTTGGGCATTCTAGGCAAATTCTCCTCCACTGAAAAATGTCACCAGCACAAGGAGTTCTTTTTTTTTTTTTTTTTTTTTTTTTTTTTTTTTTTTTAACAGGGTGCACATAGGGTAAACTTTGCAATGAATTTACTTGTTTTCAAGATAGGGTTTCTCTGTGTAGCACTGACTGTCCTGGAACTTACTCTGTATATCAGGTTGACCTCAAACTCAGAGATCCACCTGTCTCCCAAGTGCTGCAACACTACCACTAGGCTTGAGTATTTTATTTTTAAACTACTTCAATGTCTAAAACTTGGAATCTAAACAAAGAAAAGGAAATCACCTTTCCAAAAACTAAATAAACAACTTGAATAACTTACCTAGATGCCACAGCCCAACCTGGCAGACCAAATCTTTCATAATCTCCTCCATAAATATCACGGACCAGCCTATCAGCTTGGGTGCTGTCACCTTTGGATGCCATTTCAAGAGCCTCTTCAAAACTTTCACAGCCAGTCAATAAACTGCATAAATCAAGAAAGGTACCCCCTCCAAGGCTAAATAAAGTAAAAATAAGATAGTCTTGTTAAATTGCACTTACATTTTCTTTCCCAAAGTAAAAAAGACAACATTCATTTATTGAATAAACACAGGGAAAACATGGTTAAATATCAACATGATAAAGGACAAGAGAAACTACTTAGTAAAACCAAACCTGTCACCTCAACAGCTAAGTTGGCTAGGGAGAAAAACCCCATTTTGAATCTAATATTTTATACTTTGTAATTGCTAAAATATACTACTGTGTATGCATTAAAAGAAATACTAATAATAGGTTGGTGAGAGAATGCATGCTACCATTGTCAGCACTAAAGAAGCTGAGATAAGACCTTGAGTTCTGGGCCAGCCTGTCCAACAGATTCAAAATGGGTATCTGTGTCCTAAAAATACCACATAAGGAAGGAAATCTGTTCTTTTACATTCCCAAGAAATGACCTCGTGAAAGATTTAGTTGCCCAATTAGGGTGAAATTAATTCAGTTATGATATGTGAACATTAACACGAACCAAACAGAGGAAGTGTATATACGGCTCATCATCATGTTAATGACAAATTTATTTAGTACTATTCCCATATCATTTTGGATTATGCCCATGAAATGTAACTGTGTGGCTCTAGTCTTTAAATTTAAAATCTTTCTTTACTAGACTCACCTACATTTCTATTTTTTGTAGTTAGTCAAAAGAATCAAAAGAAATGTTTTGTGTATTTATTGGTTAAGGACAGTATGAAAGTGGGCTTCTAGAGTATTAATAACTGTTAAGAGTACTAATGCATTTAAGTATTTCAACAGAAATATTGCTTTAAAATTAACACCCCCCCCCATAAACCCATCTAAATTATTTCAAAACCTTTGCTTCCACAGTTGAACAGGCATTGCTACCTATTGATGAATTATTTAAGAGAATTAAGTCTTATAAAACCCTTCACTTCACATTTCAGGTTATTAAAAAAAGTTATGGTCTATTTGAGAACATTAATTTATTATAAAAGGAGTTCACATTAAATTCATCCTAAAAATTAACTGCAGGGCTAGAGAGGCAGCTCAAAGGTTAACTACTCTTACAGAGGACCTGGATTCCTAGTACCCCCCATCAGGCAGCTCATAACTACCTGTACTCCAGTTCCAGGGATCTGACACTCTTTGGCCTCTTTGGATACCTGTGTGTATTTGATGCACATAAATTTCACATACACACATATAAATAAAGATCAATGAAAAAAATAAGTAACTATTCCACTATGATATTGAATTTTAAATGCAAATTCATACAGTACATGGAAAGCTTTATGGTTAAATATAAAAAATGGAAAAAAAAAAGAAATGCTGCAGAAATTAAACAAAATATGAACAGATACTGTAGTTCTGAAGTCAACAGAATACTGTTACTGCTAGCAACTCTACTGTTAAACTCAGGAAAAAACAGTGGAATTATTCTATACAAAAATCAACTCATCATTATGGAAATTCTGATGCCAACTGATGCTGACCACTAGAAAATACTTAGGGACTTTAGTTTTAAGTTATTACATAAACACCTTACAAAAAAGATCTGTAACTTTTTTTTTTTTTTTTTTTTTGGTTTTTGGAGACAGGGTTTCTCTGTGTAGCTTTTGTGCCTATTCTGGCACTCACTCTGGAGACCAGGCTGGCCTAGAACTCACAGAGATCCACCTGCCTTTGCCTCCCTAGTGCTGGGATTAAAGGTGTGTGCCACCAACGCCCAGCTTGAGATCTGTAACATTTTAATTTATGTATCTATATTCTTTTAAAGACATTACTTTTATGTGTGCGTGTTTTGTTTGCATATATGTTCTGCACCATGTGTGTGGCTAGTGCCAGCAAAGACCACAACCTCTGGAACTGGAATTAAAGATGGCTGTGAGCTGCTATGTGGGTGTTGAAACTGAACTGGGTCTTCTGCAAGAATAGCAAGGGCGCCTAACTGCTGAACTATCTCTCTAGCCCCCTATATATTTTAATGTTGCACCAATATGTGTTATTTTTCTGGCAAAACTGGAACTAGCAATATACAATTGGGGGACCAATTCAGTGTAGCATACTTGCCTAGCAAGTATGAGGGCCTATGCTTCTCCAGCACCAAAAATAGACAGATAAATAAAACAAACCCTAGAACTTTTTGTACATAAAAGATGATGAATAATGTAATCAAATCAAAAGATTAGTACCTTGTTCCAGTCACTCTTTTATAGTTGTCTTTGGAATGAACTGCTAAAATACTGACTCCTGAGCCAATATTCACTACCAGCAGTGGATAAGGATCATCCAGGTTAAAAGGCATCTTTTGGCATCGCTCAGGTTCTGAGGCATTAGCAAAATAATAGCATTCTGCTTGTCCATTGAAACTGACAGAATCTATATACAGCAAGCCCTTTACAAGGCAGTCAAGTTCATCCAGTTTGTGCAGGTGGAGGTTTCCAATCTGGAAGAAAAAGCAAAAATCAGAATTTTAGACAGGTCAAACAAATACTTGGTTTATAGTTTTCATAAAAATTCAGTATTATGTAAGTAAGACACTATATGTTTCATTTTATTTGTTGAGGGCCAAAAAATCTATCAATGATTTCACTTAATCCACCAGTTCTCTGTGAAGGCAGCATGACCTCTGGCATAGACAGGGTTCAAGGTGACATTTAGGGGACAGAGAGATGGCTCAGCAGTTAAGAGCACTGACTGATCTTCTAGACAACCAGAGTTCAATTCTAGCACCCACATGACAAGTCTAGTTCCAGGGACTCTGATACTTTCTGCTGGCCATCTTAGTCACTAGACATGCACATGGTGTACGGACTTACATGCAGGCAAAACACCCATGCTCGTAAAATAAAAACAAACCACATTAAAAAAAAAAAAAAAAAGGCAAATTTACTCAACAGGGTCATCAGAGTCATGGGATGGCAGACATTTGCTATACACAGGACAGTTATGCAAATTTTAAAAATCACCCCACCTGAGTTATTTTTGACTATTCTGAGACACATTAATTTTACCTATCAATTCACACAAACATGAAGTATCAATCACATAGTTCTAATGTACGGGTTAATTTGCTAGGATGACATTTCAAAATACTGAATTACATGTGATAAAACTCCAAATACAGAAACACAGCATCTCTCTCTTCAATAGTTCTCTTGCCATATCCACTATAACCCCAAGGACAAGAGGTGCATACTAACATAACCTATTTTAGGAGATGGCTAATAGAGATAGCTATTAAGAATACAAAAACAAATAAAAGAAAAATGCCAGGCACGGCTGAGGCCAAACTTACCCACACAAAGAAACCCTGTCTCCAAAACCTAAAAACAAAACCAACTCCCACCCACCAACAAAAACCCTCAACAACAATAACAAAGGAAAACAAATGTTAAGTAGTAAAAGTAAGACTTCCAGATTTGGCTGGGCGTTAGTGGTGTACACCTTCAATCCCAGCACTCAGGAGGCAGAGGCAGGTGGATCTCTGTAAGATCGAGACCAGCCCTGGTCTACAAGAGCTAGTTCCACAGAGAAACCCTGTCTCGAAAAACCAAAAAAAAAAAAAAAAAAGACTTCCAGATTCACTGGGGTCTCCTTAGCACAGCTCTGTAATACAGTTCCTTGCTAACAGGCTCTACCACATTCCATCGACATACTGAAACCTGGGCAATGTAGACACCCCATAATGTTGTAAAAAAATGTTCCAAGTCAAAAATATGCTTCAGGGAAAATGAACTCAAGGAATTCAAACTGTGGGTCCCGATCCTGTGAGGGAGGGATGGACGGATCTTTTTACAGGGGTTGCATCATCAGATATCCTATCTATCAGATATTTACATTATGATTCTTAATAGAAACAAAATTAGTTAGGAAGTAGCAATGAAATAATTTTATGGTGGGGGGAGGAACTATATAAAAGGGTTACAGCATTAGGAAGGTTGGAAACCACCATCTTAGAAGCCCAGCTTTGTATTTAGAACTGAATATCCTCATTAATTTTTGGTTTTCAAGTAACAGACACCTACTGTGCGAAAATCTTTCTCAAACTTGTAAGCACCACCTCCTGTAGCACTCAGCACCGTTTGTAAGGTTGAGAAGTTTTTATCTCTTCCCATTTGGATAAAAGTAGGCAGGTCCTGGGTTGGAAATCTGATAAAGTGCAAGTTCCCTCTTCGTCCAAAAAGGGTTAAGTCCTTCAGTTCAAGGTGTACATCCCGAATGCCAGTAGATCCATATGCTACATTAGAAGTCAAATATTTCCGAATGCTTTTTAAGCTCTCAACTTCCTCTTGTTCTTCCTCTGCTGTGATATCGATAGGTTCAAAATATGAGAGCTTTACTAGAGTTCCCCCAATGTCCATTCCAAACCATGGGAAAGCTGTGAATTAAAAACAAAAAAAAATTGATAGTGAGAAAACAAACCAAAATGAATGGTTAATTAGCCACAAACTTCATTTTCTATGAGTCATGCACCTAGTTAATGCTTAGTGGCCAATACTTACTATATGCAACTAACCCTTTCCTTTGGTTGTATTTGTACAGTTTTTCCCCTTGTTTGTTTTTTTTTTTTTTTCTTTTTTCATTTGAGACAGGTTTCTGTGTAGCCCTGCCCTGTAATCATGTCAGGTAACCAATGGTAAAATACCTCCTTAAATTGAAATTTTGGGGGACTAGAGAGATGGCTCAGTGATTAAAAGCACTTGTTACCTTCCTAGAGGATCTGAGTTTCATCCACATCATGCAGCTTATGATCACCTGTAACACTAGTTCCATGGGATCCAACATTCTGGCTTTCACAAACACACAGACACAGATTCGTGCACACACAGATATGCAAATATAAATAAATTTAAAAATGAAATGAAATCTTCCTTTGCTCAATCAGCACGTTAAGTTTCTTTGATACATAGGATCAGACATACTTAACAGGCTATGTAAGGACCAGTGCATTTGGGCTAGGAGTAATATTCAGGTTTAGGACTTCAGCTAACTGGGCTATGTGACTCTAGGGGGAGAAAAATCCAATGCTTCTTTGAATATGGAGAATGCTAAAAAACAAAAATTAGCCTATCCAAAGACAGAGTCCTAATATAGTTAAGAAACTATGAGAAAGACTTAAGCTGAGAAAATACAGAGTCAAGCACAAGAGACCTTGCATGCTAGGGAAAGAAACTTAGTCTTGAATCTATAGATAATTTCAGGCACCATTTATTTTCTCCACAAGAAAGTATACAGTTTGGCTGAACATCAGAAAGCTTTCTAAAGTAGGAACATACAGGACAGACAGATGAAGTTTAAGAGGCACTTAAAAGCAAGGCAGCGGGAGGCAGAAGCAGGTGGATCTGAGTTCAAGGCTAGCCTGGTCTACAGAACAAGTTCTAGGACAGCCTACACAAGGAAACCTTATCTCAAAAAACAAAACACACACACAAAAGAGGCACTTAAAAACTAAAGGTGCCTGGCAAGTAAGTTGAAAATCAAAACCATCTAGGCATTATTTGAAAATTACAGATTTCTGAGCCTCACTCCCAGCTGCTGGGCTGAGACAGCTAAGCAATCAGGAGTGTTTGCTATTCTTCTAGTTCAGTTCTCAGCACCCATTCCAGGTGGCTCACAAGTGCCAATAACTCCAGCTCCAGGGAATCTGATACCAGCTTCTGGCCCATGGGCACCATTTATGTATATGGTACATATTACATATAGGCTCCCATATGCAGCTCAGTTGGCAGAGTGCTGCATAAACCACTGGCTAGTGTTGACACCCCGCAATCCTAGCACTCTGTAGGCAGAGGCAAAAGGATCAGAGGTTCATCATCCTTGATGACACACAAGGAGTTCAAAGCCAGCCTAGGTTACTTGACACCAGAATCAGAGAGCTAGTCAAGTCCATCTCTGTCTCTGCATAATTCTCATTACTTTCTTCTATAGAAATAGTTCATGGCCAGGCATGGTGGTGTACACCTTTAATCCTAGCACTTCAAAGGCCAGCCTGGACTACACAAGGAGTTCTAGGTAGTTGGGGCTACATATAGAGACACTGTCTCAAAAAAGAAAGGGGGGAAAAAAAAGAAACAATCAGGAAACTGAGCTTCTTAGTGTTGGAAAAAAGGGTAACAAGAAGGCCACATCAGTGAATGACACTTGAGACAAAAGCAGGCCATTTATAAATCATACAGCAGCACCTCTAGGTAAAAAGAATGTGGTTATTACTAAGAACTGCATTCAGTTAATAAAATCTAGAATTTCTTCTTTAAGGAAATTCATTCATGGTCTACATAGCCTTGGTGGTGGTGGGGTCATATATAAAATTATAGGTCATTTTCCTGCCCTATCCCCACTAATGCTTCCAAAGCAATATACTAACAGGAGACATTTATTGGCAAGTGTTTAAACAAATTGTTTTTGCATTTTATGTTTTTAAAAAGTTGGGGTTTTAAAGCCGGGCGGTGGCTGTGCATGCCTTTAATCCCAGCACTCGGGAGGCAGAGGCAGGCGGATCTCTGTGAGTTCGAGACCAGCCTGGTCTACAAGAGCTAGTTCCAGGACAAAGCCACAGGGAAATCCTGGAGAGAGAGAGAGAGAGAGAGAGAGAGGGTTTTTGTGTTTTTTTTTTGGCTATTTTGAGCTATGTTAGAGCTCATGCTACGGCTCAGATTGGCCTAGAACTCACTATTATAGCCCCAGTTGGCTTTTAAGTTGCAGCAATCCTAATTCAAAAGTATTGGAATTATAGGTGTGAGCCACAAGATCTAGCTACAACTAGGTTAAAAAAAAAATGGGAGCAGATGACACTGATTAAGGAATTCTGAATTCCCCTCAGAATTGCTCTAAAATCTTTCAAAAACCATATCTTTTATTATGACATGTTTTAATGATGACCAGATTAAAAGAAATTTTCTGGTATTAACCTAACCAAAAGAAGTTCTCCCACTTGAATGATGCTTGACTGTAGATTTCATGGTTTGGAAGAACAGAAATCATTTTACCAAAACTCAAAATCCACTAAAAGCCAGTATTTGCATATTCTCTCCCACCCACTTTTTGTTTTGGTAATTCAAGCAAACCCAGGGCATTGGTGCATATTAGGCACTCTACCTCTGAGCTACATTCTCAGCCCTTTGCAGACTTTTCAGGCTCATGTCAAACATAGGTGTCAAAATACACATACAAATGTTACAGAGTACAAACTGGAAGTTCAAAGTTTATTCATTTTCCAGACAGAATCCTCTATTCACAGATTTACGAATATCAGAATACTGACATTCCTAAAACCAAACTTCAAATTAGCACTTAACACTTCTTATTCTTAAAACCATTTCAGTAGAAGCTTTCATGTATTCTGGAGAATAAGAAATCACCAACTTAAAAAAAAAAAAAAAGAAATCACCAACTTTTCTAAAACTGTGACTGAGTACTAAGGTTTTTGTTTGGTTTTTAATTCTAAGTTATGAATAGCCATTTCCAAAATGCACATTCTGGCTACTCCGAAATGTGAGCTATGAAGTGGTAAAGACATAAGTAATGAAGGTAATCAAAAATCTCTTTGTAGCAGAATAGCTTACCAATCAACCCTGTTTATTTGGACTCTGAAGTGCAAGAAAAAAATTAGTTATACCTACCATTAAAATAATAAAAACTAGGGCTTTTGAGAGCTCAGTGGTTAAGGGCATGCACAGCTCTTGGGAGTTTGGTTCCCAGCACCCAGGTCCAGTAGCTTAGAATTATCAATAACTCCAGCTCCAGGGGATCTAATACCCACTTCTGACTTCTGCCACCACTTCTAAGAATAAGTTCTCCCTCCACCATGTAGGTCCCAAGGACTGAACTTGGCCACTAAACTATCTTGTCAGCCCAATACCCAACTTTTGCAGATATCTTTTCAACTCAGCAGTGCTCTGGAATTTATTTCCTTAAATCAAGAAATAACTTCTATTCAGGGGCTGGAGAAATGACTCAGTTGTTAAAAGCAGGTATTGTTTTCCCAAAGGACCAGAGTTTGATCCCCAGCATCCACTTCAGATGGCTGAGAACTGCCTTAACCTCAGTCCAAGAGCTCATCTGACACCTCTGGCCTCACAGATGCCAGCACTCAAATACACAAACCCACACACATACACATAATTAAATCACATTCAAAAAGCATTAAGGAGGCAACAAGAGCACAGAAGACAAACTTTCAACTATGAGCCACTCTTGTAACATCTAACACATGGTCTAATTACCAACTTTTGAATTTTCTAGGACATTAAAATGGGTAACATATACATTGATAAATTCCAGGTGTGTATGCAGTTCATGAGTAGAAAAATTTCACTTGGGGCTGGAGAGATGGCTCAGTGGTTAGGAAAACTAACTGCTCTTCCAGGACCTAGGTTCAATCCTCAGCACCCACATGGCAGCTCACAACTGTCTGTAACTCCAGTTCCAGGGGATTCAGCACCATCATGGTAGGCAAAATAGCAATGCACATAAAATAAAGAAATTTTGCACTTCTTATTGATTTTTTACAAATAAAGACTTGAGTTTTCAGCTGGGCGTTGGTGGCGCACGCCTTTAATTCCAGGCAGATCTCTGTGAATTCGAGGCCAGTTAAGTGTTCCCCATCATGGCACTAAGACGCATTAGTTTTGTGTGTGTGAGTTATTTTGAGCTGGGTCTCATGCTGTACAAGAGCTGGGATGACAAATGTGCTTTACCATGCTAGCCTAGGGTACATTAGTTTAATTGAGAAAATGTAAACTTGAACAGTCACTGTTTCATTGGCTTCCTTTTTGTTTGTTGGCCTTTGGTTTTTTTGAGACAGGGTCTCACAACATAACTCTGGCTGGCCTCAGAACCCAGAGAGAGATCAATCACCTCAGGGGTGTGTTGGGATTAAAGGTGTACACCACCACACCCTAGTTCATAAACTCTGAACTAGCATACACACACTCACACAAATCACTGTTAATGAATTTCATTATTAATGGGCAGATAATCTAAAAATTAAAAAAAAAGGCCAAAAAACAAAACTTGTGTTTCCCAAGTATTTAGACTATGCCCTGTACGTGGACTAGAAACAACACTGCACTTTGAGCGAGTACACGGAGGGTACTAAAAGTTACAGAGGCGAAGTTCAATTTCCTCATCTTTAAACAACAAAGTCACATTTACAGTTTCTAGACTGCTGCTTCTGTGAGGTTTATAGGATCCCTTAATGGGAGCAGGCAGGGAAGAGGTGTTCATATCCCCCTTTATAGCTGATATCTTGGAGCAGTTGGGAAGATAGCACGGAACACTAGAAACTGTAAAACCTCAAGTTAAGACAGAAGCACTGATCCCCACATCCCTAGCTTGTAGAGAATGGAAGAGCAACATTCACAAAGACTGAACTAATAA